ACACACACACACACACACACACGACATACGACACAAGACATGTGCACGCACGTGCGCACGAACTTTTCCCACTTCAGTTTGGATGCTATAGCGTTGCGGACGTGTGGGATGTTTAGACTTCTTTGACTTGCGTTGTTGTGACCTGTGTTGTCGCATGTTTACTTACATTATGAGGATACACGATGCAATTAATATTCTGGCTTCTGTGCCGTGTAGATGACTTACAAACTGAGCCATGATTCAGGAGTCATAATATGTAATAATGTCTTTCGAAGATTAATGAGTGTTCTACAAAAAGTCTGCGGCAGATATAGCTCTTGTCTGTACTTCATCATCCCGCCAGTTACGCAGGCCTTTTGGTTTTATTATCGGAATTTTCAATAAAAATGCGGTTGAATTTGATAATATTGTGTAACTCTCTGCTACCACCGTTGCACGCGCGTATGCTAGTATATTATTTATTTTATTTTTTTTCTTGTATGCTGTGTCGCTAGTTGTCTTAATTAATAGACTCTTTACGCGTCAGTAGAACTGCCAAACCTTTCAGTAGTAAAGCGCGGGTGGTTGGAGAGAACCCCTTGTGGGTTTTTTTTCCTTTGTTTTAGAAGGACATCTTCATATGCCTGTGTGTCTGTTCTGCTTTTTGCCGTCGTTAAATCATAGTTGTTGTGTTGATATGCCTCTCTATACAGCACACACTTAAAGGCTGTTGAGATAATGCGGCGTTTCTTAAACTTTGTTCTGTTGTGCATTAGTCGACTCTTTATGTTTTATTTTTCTTCTTCTTTTTAAAACGTGTCCTTCATCTTGTTTCAACACACCATCTTCCTGGCTGCCTGTCTCGCCTCCAGAAAGACATATTGTGTGTCTTGTGGGGTACTATCTTCAGATAAAACCTTTTTGTAGCTTGTATGCGTTTTAAGAAAATTAAAGTCTTAACAAGAACTTGCAATTTAATAAGATATCCCTTGTCAGGTATGTTGCTAACCTTGAACGATATCATTCTAATAATACAAGGTGCTTTTTGAGCAATGCTTTGTGCTCCTATGACTCTAGGGTTGTTTATCAATTCGATATATTATAACAAAGGACCGAATCGGCAATTAACCGACTTGAATTTTCTTTCTATGTGCAAGGAAGACATAATTAGGATGGTATATACGGGCTGTTTTGTTATTCTGGATCATGAACTAAGTACCGCTTTGGCGTCATGTCCGCCTATGAGATAACGATTGTCAGACATAAGTAGGATGATATATACGGACAGTTTTGTTATCCTGGATTATGGACAAAGTACCGCTTGGGCGTCATAACCGCTCATGAGATACCGATTGCCACCAACATCCCCACTACTCCCGTCTTTCCATAATCACATCCGCTACCACTGTTTTCAGTGCCAGCGTTGCTATCATTGGCCCCGTCACAGTGTGGGCAGTTGTTGGGTGTTCTGGTGTTGTTTGCTCATTCTTTCCTATCAAACATTTATCGACCTTATCTTTCCTTCTTTTTTGTTTTTGTTGTTGTTGTTTGGCTTCACGCTAATATGACCTATTTGTCTTGTAAGTTTCGCAACACTCTTTTTAAAACTAAACTTACAACTTCGGCACTTTTATGACGTATTTGTGTTTCAAGTGCCGTAAAGCTCTTTCTGAAACTAAACTAAGACTCCGGCTGTTATGAATGACGTAGATCAAGTGCTACAAAATTCTTACTCAAACTAAACTTAAAATTCGGCGACGCTTACTAAAATCGAACTACCACTTCAGCACTTATGCTATAACATAATGATAATGATATGACCTATTTATCAAGCAAGTGCCGTAAAACTCTCACATTGGCGCTCATATGACTTTATGCAGTTTCCAGCGCCGTAAAACCTCTACTAAAAAAAAAAAAAAAACTCTCACAAAAACTGAACCGCCGCACTGTCATGGCCGTGAGCACGGTGCAGGCATTGTTCAACTGCCTCAAGCTGTGCTTCCTGTGTGCGTTCATCCTGGTGGTGGTCACCGTCAAGTTCTTACGGCGACACGAGCGGCCTCAGTCCCTGCGTCTGCTCATCTCGGAGGGAAAGATCCTCTTCTGGAACACCGGGGCCAAGCTGCGCGCGCAGTTCAACGGCACGAGTGATGCGCTGGCACTCACCCCGGGTAGGCGTGCAGGGTGGTTTGAGAGAGAGAGGAGAGAGAGAGGAGAGAGAGAGAGA